AGCAAAATAAGTACCGCCAAAAGTAATTATCTAAATAATACGAGTGTGTACCGAATACCTTTCTGTATGAGTAATGAGTAGGTATGTTACGGCTAAAGATAGTTGTAAACATAAACTTAAGATTAGCCGGCTAAACTTAAGTTTATCTTCGAGAAGCAGCTAAAGTTCGATAACATGTTAGTTTGCGTTGTGATATTCCATCTTTAGCAGGCTAATGTGCACATTAGCCAAAACGAAATGGCTAAAAATGTATTCGATTGGCGCGCCAGGCCGGCGGAGGGCTTGAGGGGGCGGTGGGGAGACAACGCGCGCGCAGTTTTATTTTGTAATTTTAAATACCTACAGAAGATTCTGTAATGACCCAATGGTTCCTTATTATTTTATTTTAATGATTAGGTAGATATTGTTTTAAGTAATTAATATTTTGTTATTGTAATAATTGTAATTTTGAATACCTACATCCTACATAAAAGTATGTGTAATAAAAGTGATTATGTTTTAATAAAGTTTTCGTGTCAAAATAGTAAACATTATTACATTGTTTCCTTTTCCATTTCCTTCTACATTTATAGCCAAGGGCCTGCGGTTACACTTAAGTTTAGCCGGCTAAAGATAGAAGAAACTAACATTAACACCTCGTCGAAGATAAACTTAAGTTTAGCCGGCTAATCTTAAGTTTATGTTCACACCTATCTTTAGCCGTAACAGGTATACATTTTGATTATTGCTATAGGAATATTATAGCCACTGTGGGGCAGGTGTTCCATAGCTCCCCGCCTCACCCGGGTTATGGGTCGGGGCTCAAGTTTTACGCCACAGAAAATGATTTTAATGGCCAATCTATCGCGACCACCTTTTATGGCCCCCATAAAACCGTACAGTAAATTTTGAAGATAATGTTGTAATGGCATGGTTGAGGAACACATAATATAATATTATGGTACATTTTGTTTGTGGTTATTTTATTTTTCCTTCCTTGTATTGAAATAGGTACCTACTAACTAACGCGCCCGCGAATATAGAGAACTATGTATTAATTTAATTGCCTATTGTTTCATTGTAAACATAATAGGCAATTAAGTTAATAATGTTTATTTTTTATCGATATTTCGATATCCGTCTGCTCGTTTGCCTCCCGTCACATAAAAAAAGAAAAAAAAAACATTGATGTTTGCCTTAGTTATCAGAGTACCTAATTTTTTACTAAACTAGGTATGTTTTAATTGAGTTTTTCAAGTAAGAAAAAGGATATACCCATAAATTAATAACAAGATCTTTAAAATATCATGTAAAGTGAAGAGCCTGCACACCACGGCATACAATTAATTGAAATATTAATTATTACACTTCTTGAGTATGTAAATTATTACTAAGCCACGATAGCCGAACGGTGCAGGGGTCGGACTGGCCGACTCGTGATCCGGGGAACGCGGGTTCGGTCCTCGACGCCGCTCGACTATTGTGGTGAGCTCACTCGTAATACAAGCATATTTAGCTTAGTACGAGGGGCTAACAACATTTCTTTAAAAAAAAAAGTTATTGTCACCCGTATTCCATAGAAATATGGCATATAAATGAAAGACTCGGTTTCATCGTTAATTTTGTTCATTACTTTACGTTCCGTTAACCATTACATTTCTCAGTGCACTTTGAACAAGCAAAACGCAAACCTCGCTCGAGATTTCCGTTTTTGTTACTTTAATGCTGCTGAATTTACATCCGCGGCTAATTCTATCTGAAGTAGCATTAATGCTGCCCTCTACTAAATTCAGATTTATATGATGCGACTAAAATGTATTTAAGTATCCTATTTTATAATCAAATAGATAAGCAACAACAACACAGTTAGATAAAGCAATTGTTAGCTATAAATTATAGTGCCCCTCAGTTAGTACCTACTTAAAATTAAAACCCGTGGTAAGTATGCCTTAAAAAATATCGGACAAATTGGCAAAAAAAAGGTAGCCCTTATTACTTTGATCCATAGTAGGTAATAGGTATAATAATGAATTATTTGTATTTTTTTATCTGACCACAGACCACAGTGTGACAAATCCTTTAACCATCTAGCCTTTTCTGTAGCAATCACACTGAAAATGGAAAGTTTTAGTGTAAATTAACCTAAACCTAAATCTATTTTTGATCGGAACTTTCAGATCCGAAGGCGCATACCTACATTCGATTAAGTATGTAAGGTAGGTAGACAACATCTTCTCTCATCGAATGATATGATGATAAAGTTTCCCCAAAATCGTATCTAAAAATAAACTACCTTTAGCTTGAGCGATATATTTACGTTGCCGTGCATTTACGGCGTTAAAAGTCACTCAATCACTCAATGATCGCTGACTGCCGGTGACTGGTGATTCAATTTTCACAGTGACTGCATCTAACGCGGAAAAATCTTCCCGTGTAAACCCCACTTGCCCAGTGAACCGTGCGACCTGACTCCTGAATAATTTAGGCTTCGCTGGCATGACGTAGTGCCATAATGGACCCTCTGAAATCACGTCACGAGCCAATTTTATGATGCGAAAAATTAAACTGCCCTACATCTGCCGCGCCGTTTAGGAACTATCGTGTAGTTTATTACAGTGTTCCGCGAGGTGGCGCTGCGAGAAACTTTCGTTTTTTTTTCAGCTGATAGCACAAGGAAAATGTATTTTTCTCTTGTATCAGCTTTTGTGATTTGCCTTGGGATTCGCGTTATGAACATCTATTTATGGCGGGAAAAATAGTACTTATCCCAAATGATACAAATCTTGATAGATTCTCACAAGTTAGGTATAAGAGACTAGACAGCGTGTCTGAAACTAAAAATCGAATCCAACACTTTCGGCTGAAAGAATCCATTCTTAGCACTGGACCACTGAGGCAATCATGACCTGATACTCAGCTTATGATGTAAAAGCTACATCAACATGATAAATTACTCAATAAAGATATGAACTAATACGTAATACATTACAGATGTACCTTACAACTCGTCCTTAGCAGAAAATCTAAGCAAATCATGTCAAGGGTAGAATAACGGATCTATAAGGAAAATCTTTCCAATAAAAACGACACGGTTGACTCACCGAGATCCAGAAAAAGGTGAAGGGGATGCTTAACGAAAACATTTCACGTGAATTTCTTGTAAATATCGGATGAGAACCAAAGTTTGCAGGTTACTGTCATCAACTGTCATGTTGTCATGTTCTGTCATAGATGAAGATTGACTTGTGTCCTGTCGATTACTTTTTATCGTATTTTCAAGTCATGATGTTAAAATAGTGATATTGTAATCGAGTCTTAAAAAACATCCATATCATTACACGTTTTGCGTCGAACGAAACCCTTTTGTACCCTTTGCACCACCGGCCTGCACCACTGGTGGTGCAAAGGGTATTTTTTAATCCCTTTTGCACCACCAATAGTGCCGCGTTACCATTAACTGTAAAACGATTATCTATAATCATATAATATTAATATTATAAAGAGGAAGACTGATTGTTTGTTTGTACTGAATAGGCTCCAAAACTACTGGACAGATTTGACAACATAAAAATTAATAACAACCATTCATACCTACATACAGCGAATAATATTCCTAAGTACCAGGGCAACATAATCATAAAGGAGCTATATCAAATTCTTCTTGGTTGACCCGAGAAATAAACATGTATCATAAAATAGCTCCTTTATGGTTATGTTGCCCTGGTACTTTATTCGTTATATGTAAAAAAAAAAAAAAATTCTTGACATACTTTAAACAACCATAAATACAATATCTTATTGTGCTGCATAAGTGCATGTTAATTAGAAAATTTTAATTCCATTAGTAATAAAAAATAACATAAACATCTTCCAGTTCCTAATAACTGCAGTAAAGAGTTTTATAAATAAGTCAGAATATATAGACTAATATTATACAGTTTGTGTGTTTGTATATTTGTTAAATTGTAAAGGGTAATCTCGGGATCTACTGAACCTATTTTAAAAATTCTTTCACCAATAGAAAGCCACATTATTGCTGAGTGTCATCTATACTAACATTATAAATGCGAAAGTAACTCTGTCTGTCTGTCTTGCTTTCATGCCTACGCCACTGAACCGATTTTGATGAAATTTGGCATAGAGATAGTTTGAGTCCCGGTTTTTGAAACAGGGACGCGCGCGTTAAAATTTTTCTGTGACAGACAAAATTCCACGCGGGCGAATCCGCGGGCGCAAAACTAGTTATGAATAACTAGAGAGCAACTACCAATTCTGTTATGAATTAATAACAAAATGATGAATGTAAAATGTATGTGCCAAATCGATGACCATGATCATTGGCTAATAAAAAGCTCAGCTGTAATTGGATATCTCTTCATATAGAAAAACCAATAATTTAATATTATTGGCCTAGTTTTCTCTTTTTTAAGTCACGAAGTCGTGACCCCAGGGAAAAGTGATGGGACCATTACTTTTGGCTAGGCATCGTTTCGCACGTGGAGGAAAGTGCGTTAAAAATCCAGTCACCGTACTTACATTGTATGTTTTAACCGACCATCAACAAAAGGAGTTCTCAATTCGGTGGGTATGTTTTTCTTTTCGCTTTAGATTTAAAGAATATGCTGAATATTTTCCTGTTTGTATCATTAGCCATTTTCATGAAAACGAGCAACTTATCAAAAAGTTATGTGAGTCATTGCAACTTGTAAATAAGAAATAGACTGTGTAAAATAAAATTACCTCATTCGTTATATCCTTAAAGGACAATGTTCGTTNAACGAAACTAATATCACTAATATTCATATATTTTTTTTATAATTTGGAATCCTTTACAATAGACAGGGTGTCCCAAAAATAGTGATTAAGTTCATTGACAAAAATAAATAAATAACTATGCACTATGCTATGAACTCTAATACATACAGTGTGAGCTTCGCAAATAATAATTATTTGTGTTCGAAAATATTTATTTTTTAAATCACTACTCTTTGGGAAACACACGCAAATTTAAAAAAAACACGTAACTTTTAAAATATAATTTATTACAGGTAAATCTTTGTATAAAATTAACACTTACTTGCTAGTATGATTTTCACCTGCCACGCACACTACGCAATGACTTCCATACACACACTTATTATTCGTTCATTTTGGTAAAATTTTATTTATTTTGATAACTGATTGTTGTATGAGATATAAACAATATGACAAGGATGAACAAGAAAATTTGCACTTATTATGAATTTCTATGTAACATTTGTACAAAATTATTTAAACTTAATTCTGTAGTTTAACAATAAAAGGCCTCAAAAATTAAATAGGTACTTTGCATATCAAAAATATTAACATACAAACATGTTTCAATTATTTACAATTATTTTTTGAGCTATAAATGGATAAATGGTTACTATTGATGCCAAGTAGACCTGTAGACCAATATTATGGCTTTTAATAAAAATGTGATGATTGATTTTGAATTGGTCCTTTCCCAGTAACAAATTAGGAAGTAATGATGAATCTCAGACTAATAGCAGCACGTATCACGTTATTTTCGACATGGTTCTCTAAAATAGTAGAAGTTTGAAAGTTTACGGATGACGGTTTTCAAAATAATTGAAATTGTTAGTATCGAGGAAAGTAAGTATAAGTACATACAAATCCCCGATAGTATATTCCTGTTTGAATGTTTTCTTTTTATTTATAAAACAATCAACTTGACCAGTTTTTTATGGTCTAATTTGAGCGCGACCAACGTTGTCCATGGTTTTTGAAGTCTTAGGATTCCATTCGTATTTCGATACCTATATCGACTACGAAAGAGAACTTCTAATGCTCTGTAATCGGTTATGATTTCGACTAATATTGTGTTATTTTCCGTCAAGATTTATATTTCTAGATGCCACGTCGATATTTTATTTGTTAGTGTTTACATGCCGTTGTAGGCGGGACCGCCACCACCCTCAGGCACCACCCAGTTGATGTTCTGAGACGGGTCTTTGATGTCGCATGTCTTACCTGTAAAAAATATTAAGTTAAATAACATTTAGGTGCGTAATCGATTCAATCTTCCGTCTTAGATTCGGTTCTGTGATTAGTCTAATCCAGGCGTCTCCAAACTACGGACCGCGACAGTAATTGAAATTCAATAAAAGCCTGTTTGTATAAGTGGGCAGAAAAATTTAAATTGTTATGGCCCTTGCAAAATACCGAAAAAAATATTATGGCCCCAAGGCTTCAAAGTTTGGAGACCCCTGGTCTAATCTATTAATATTAAACCAATCAAAATTCTCAATCTTTGCTTGAAATCAAGAAGTAGTTGATAGTTTTTGAAGTAACTAAAATTCGTGTTCATATCCAGTACATTTATGATAGGACTAGCTTTTCGCCCGCGGCTTCGCCCGCGTGGAATTTTGTCTGTCACAGAAAAACGTTATCGCGCGCGTCCCTGTTTCAAGAACCGGGATAAAAACTATTCTATGTCCTTACCCGGGACTCAAACTATCTCTATGGCAAATTTCATCAAGATCGGCTCAGTGGTTTAGGCGTGAAAGCGAGACAGACAGACAAGAGTTACTTTTGCATTTATAATATTAGTATAGATTTACGTTTTATAATCGTCAAATACTTACAATGAATGCAGTTTTGTGCGTTGATCTGCAACCTTTGACCCTCTCCCGACTCCATGGGGACAAATTCGTAAACGCCTGTTAAAAAAATGTTTCATTAGCTACATATTGCATTATAAAAAATAATATTCTAATTCGTTGTTTGGTATCCACCATAGCACTAGTTTTGGTTACATTGAGACTAGAAAATGACCCACAGAAATTATTGTGACGAATGCCATCTAATAATAGACGGGAACGGCTAATTGCTTAATTTTGTGGAACGATCAGTCATCAACATCATTTCAGCCACAGGACGTCCACTGCTAAGCATAGGCCTCAATTATTTCCATAATGACCGGTTGGTAGCGGCCTGCATCCTTCTTGACACCTTTAGGAGGTCGTCGGTCCACCTTGTGGAATGTTCAGTATTAAAGTACTGACCTGCAGGACAGAACCTGGCCTCTGGTCCGTCAAACACGGCGAGGTTCTGCTTAATTGGTACTGAGTCATCCTTCAGCGTCAAGTGTGCTGGTTGGTCCGCCTCGTGGTTTGTTCCTATACATACACACAGCTTTATTACTATCAGTTCAGTAGCATTACATGTTGAAAATTTTAAAATTATCATGGATTTTACACTCTTATGTTAATTGTTAAGTGAGTAATCCCAAATTTTTAAGTGACCTATGAAAACAAAATTCCTGTTATGTATTACCATAGGGTTCACTTAAAAATTAGGGATTGATGGTGGAAACGGGCATAAGACTCAAAGTTTGATAGCAATATTGAAGCCACTCATCATCCGAGGAACGCAGGTCCGTTGACGCTCGACTATTGTGGTCACCCACTCGTGACACAAACATTTAGCTTAATACGAGCGAGGGGCTAACAGGACTATTAGTAATTTGTGTAAAAATAAATTACTAATAGGTATTCATTAGAAAAAAATATTTTAGTCATTCAACCAGTGAAGGACTAAACCGATTTTTGCTATAACGTGATATACATAAGTCGAATGGAATCCAATGGTTACCTGTGAGCGCCACCGATGAGAGCAGATCAAAAGTAAGGACTCCGTCCGGTTTGGGGTACTCGATAGGTTTGCAGTCTTTCGCTGGCTTCAACTTGGCGTGGTCAGCGCCTAAAATGGAGACATAACTTTATGAAAGACACTCAGAAAGATGAACTCGAATAAAAATATTCAACAAAATAATATTTTAATTTTCCGATGACCCAATCATAACTTTACATTATTATTCTCTTTATTAACTTTGGTTCTTAATTTTAAATATTTTTTTACAATGTAAATTATCAAAAAAAATAAATAAAAATACATTATAAAAAAATACTTAAAAATAGTTATTCCGCTGGTAGCGGAGCAGGGCCCAAGCTACCGGTGGTCAGGGTCACAGGCTGAGGAACCTCCGGACAATGCGTGCCGTGCTGAGGATCACCGCCTTTTGTATCTTATTATTATTATTATTCTGTCTAATGGCTTCAATGGTGCGAATTTGAAGCACACTGGTTTTTTCAAAGCTAAAATTATCATCAATTGGAATGTTGACCATTGACCAACCACTAATACTGTAATTACAAGACACAACTTTTACATCAATAAAAATAATAGGCCTGAAAACTGAGTTAGTTTTCATGTTTGCAAGTTTGCAACCTCGTGATTTTACAGTCTTTTTGCCATACAAAATCTGTATTGCAAAGACAGATTTTGACAGCTTATAAAAAAGTATATTTTATCAATGAGAGCTATCGTTTTAGCGCTCACCAGTTAGCGCCACTGTAGAGTAAGGTCCTGTCACTTGCTAGTAGCGAAGACAGTGGCAGCGCAGTGACTGGTGAGCGCTAAAGTGGTAGGAGGACTATCGCAATTACACTCATCAAGATGGCGCCACTGTAGAGTAAGGTCCTGTCAATCGCCAGGGGTGCTAACTGTTAAATATAAAAACGATAGCCCTCATTGACTAGGACTCTGGATTAAACAATTGTAATTTTATTTTTTCAAAAACCACCTTACCCCCATGGCTGAAGGTCCAAGGTTCCTTGCCCTTCACGAGTGTAGAGAAGGCAGAATAGGCAACGCCACCGTATAAGCCTAGCGACGTGTGGAACGACGGCCGGCAGTTGCGTACTTCCTGTAAAAACAACGGCTTTTGTTAGCAAACGAATTACAAAAGATTGTAATACCTAACTGACGTCACTTATTTGTACAAGCCTGTGCCTTTGAACTCTAATTTCGGTATTTATTCTTAACTTTTAAATAATGCAATAGCACCGTTAAATGATTTGTAGCTTTGTCGATTTTTTTGAGATAAAAAAAGAAAAAACAGTCTTATTTAAACGAGGTTTATGAAAGAGTTCGTCTTAATATTTCAGTAAAATCTAACAGAAAGGGAAAGAAAGAAATTCAGAAAAGCAAAAACTGAAGACAGTGAACGAATGGATTAACTTTAAAAGTTCGCGTTGTAGGATAATATTATAAGGTTAAATAAGTTAATAATAGTCCTTTTTAATTTATAAAATTTATATGCACTGATGTAACAAACGAACGTACCTTCAGTTGCTTGTAAACGTAAGAACTCTTCAAGCTCTCTTCATACTGCGTGGGGACCACTCCCTTATCGTGTGTCGCCTCCCCAGAGATAATGAGATCCATAGCTGCCTCCGCGGCTAACATACCTGAAAAAATTTACAAAAATTATCATACTGAATTGTCTATTTTTTATGTGTAACCCCACCCCATAACCGACTGCTCAGGTGTCGGCTCGAGTCACCTACCCGATTATCGACTTCTCATGTAGGTATCTGCTACCTTATAATCGACCGTTTAAGTGTCGTCCCGATTCATTCCGCCCTATCATAACCGACCGCTTACGTTACGTGTTAGCGTGGTGACTCGCACCAAATCTTGTAACCGACCGCTTACGTGTCCTCTTGAGTCATTCCACCCATAACCGATCGCTCACATGTCCTCTTGAGTAATTCCACCCCTTAACCGACCGCTCACGTGTCCTTTTGAGTCATTCCACTCCATAACCGATCGCTCACATGTCCTGTTGAGTAATTCCACCCCTTAACCGATCGCTCACGTGTCCTCTTGAGTCATTCCACCCCATAACCGATCGTTCAAGTGTCCTCTTGAGTCATTCCGCCCCATAACCGACCGCTCACGTGTCCTCTTAAGTCACTCTACCGCTAACCGACCGCTCACGTGTCCTCTTGAGTCATCCCACCCCATAACCGACCACTCAAGCCACTTGTCGTGCCACTCACCGCTCTTCATGGCGTTGTGCGTGCCCTTGATGCGCGGCACGTTGAGGAAGCCGGCCGTGTCGCCCGCCAGCATGCCGCCGGGGAACACCGGGACTGGGAGGCACTGCCAGCCGCCTTCAACCAAGGCGCGCGCGCCGTACGCCACGCGGGTACCGCCTGGTTAAATAGAGACACGTTTATTATCAAACTAAATTTTTGTTGCAATATACAGGGTGACTTTTGTATCAGTATCCAAATTTTAATATAACAATCTATGAAGCGAAAGACAAAACACGTATTTTTTATTTTTGTATCGTCCAGTACAAAAATGTCAAAATAAAGCACCCAGAAACAGTCTGAAAAAACACTTACACCGTGGTCACAGCTCACTCGCTTACGCACGCACACACGTACGCGCCTGCCCGCGCCGCATTTCATTCATTGCGATACGATTTATAAGTTATCGATTTTCCCTTCATACTTTCACGGGCTTAGGACCGTCAAAATGCAAAAGATTTCAAAGTGGTAATTAGTTTTAATTAAACAGACTTACAAATTTATGGTAGAAAAATTAAATACTTACGACAATAATTACGCTATCAAAAAGAAAATAAAATCACCGAGAGCGGTAACACTACTTTTCTTGTGTACCTATTCGGGGGTATTTTTCGTTATTTTCATGTGCAATAATTGAGATTGCTTACCAAACCTACCTAACCTAACAACAAACTAACAAATTATGAGTAGTTATTTTAATAATTGCCCAAAGTGCATACCATTTTTCTCCAGACAGACTTGCACGCTTTTGTACATTGTCTTTGAGTTTATTTAAAACTACAGTGTCATTTCGCACTTCGCGTCTCGTGTAGGTACTTACCTACTTGCTCGCGGATCTCGCTTCAGTTTGCCGCTAAAATCGTTCACCGGTTTGGCACTGTTGGGTTTAGTCCTTGGTTACGAAGTCGAGGTATTCCTCTGGGCCCGGTTCAAACTCTCTCCACTTAAAATGTAGCACCGAATCATTTCATAACACTCGCGCTGCGAATACATCGTTACGTTGACCGCACGACGCCGCGACGGAACGATCGGCGCGCGCAGCGATACGCGCGTCTCGTAATGGGTTGCGCGGGCGACTGATTGAAGCGCCGCGCGCGCGGCCAGGCCGGCCGGTCGAGCGTTGCCACACGTTGCCAGCTCTCCGCTCGACCAGCTCTCCCGCAAAATGTTTACGCGCTAAGCGCGGTAACCACACTACGTGATTAATTGGTTAGGAAAAAAAATAGTTGATGTTAAAATTTGACCTACCTATTTTTTATCAAAAATGTCATCTATAAACGATACCTAATGTCAGGAAAAAATTTGGATACTGATACAAAAGTCACCCTGTAGAACGTACGCGTAATTATATTGCTGTCGCGCTCGCACACACACTGCGGCCGCCCGTCCCACAGTCGCGACAGCAATATAATTACGCGTGAGCGATAAGGATGGATAGCTTGGGGTCATTGGACGAAACTCTATGTGCTTGGTGACCGGACTTTAGATATGCCACAGTGTTGATGTGCCATCATCTAGACACAAGACAAAAACTGTCAATTTTGTATAAAAAGCAATAAAAAAATGAGAAATTAATCATAGTTTTTTATTTATTTTTAGTTATTAAGTAACTCAAGGTCTGCTAAAGGCAAAAGACCATGGAGTAAGCATTCTAGTTGTGAAAAAATGTTGACAGAAATGATAGAAAGGTATGAAATTTTGCTGGCAGCTTCATATAAAGTAGGGTAGCAGTCTGGCCCAGTGTAACCAAAGCAGAGGTGAGGTTAAACATGTTATACCGGGACATAAAAAAGCGCTTTTTCAAAGCCTACTTCCAGAAAATAAACTATAACTTTCTAGCTACTCTATCCACTAGTAGTAGGTCTATTCAGTGGGCGTATTGTGAGTTTACTTCAAACGCATTCAATATCGAGTGCGTTAAAAAAATCTATGAAGGTTTTGGTTCATGAAAGTATCCGCTAGGGGCGCTGTACAATCCGTCATCCATTTAATGCATTTTTTACACAGTCGACATCTAATACGTTTCATGTAAACTCACACTAAGCCCCCAGCAGACCTTCATGAGCGAACACTAACCTTCAAACATAGCACTGATGTACGGATGGGTCTTGAACTTCTGGAACTCCCTGAAGGGGCTGATGTAGGGGTTAGAGTAGTCCAACCCGAGCACGAAGCCTGCGGCCACTAAGGGTGCTTCGCCCTCGTCCACCTTGAGGTGGTAGATGAACGAGCCCCCGTATGTGTTCTTGTCGAGCGGCCAGCCGATGGTGTGCTCTACTAGACCGGGTTTGTGGTTCTGTAAAAATAAAAATAAATTCATTTTCTAATTAATTTACACTCAAAAAATGTAGTCCAAAGTTATAGTATTATTATAATGGGTGCGTTTGGCGGAAAAAAGCTCATGCTAGCGATAAGAAACTAACTCTCTTTGCTTTCGATTGCTAACTTCAATGGTGACGTGTTAGTTATTTTTTTAGCAGTGATAGCGCTTACCGCTTAGCGATCGCCATTTTGCTCACAAGCGCTTCCAAGCGCTTGTTTTTCCACAAACCAAACGCACCCAATAACTATCCTTATTAGGCTTCCTCAACCCATCTGGCCAATATGAGTGTAAAATACAACTACTAGGGTCATTTTCTCCTGTTAGCGTCCAAATTACGGATCACGCTTTAAAAACAATATAAAATATTGTTTTTCACCAGTGTCTAAATAAAGAAGAAAAAACAGACATGTATAGGCGACGTGGCCTTATTTTATTGAGATAAGTAAATAAAAAACTTATACAAAATGTATCTGTAAACTCGAATGTATGTACAAATCAAAGGATATGACTCACCTCAGGCTTCACTTCCCACAGTTCTTTCAGTCCGATACCGTATGATTGTGGCTCACTCTTCTCCCTCAGATTGTATTTGCTAGAAAGCATCTTTGTTAGATGTCCATGGCAACCTGTAATTATAATTATAAACTCTTGAAAAATTATTTTAAATTAAGATTACTAACATTGTTATGTACAACTTGGTCGAGTTAACTGCGCACCAGGCAGCCGTGACGTCACATCGACGCTCTGATACGGACAGGGTGAACCCGAGGATTCCAGCGAGATGCGCAATTAGCTCGATCGAGTTGCAAGTACCCCGTAGTAAGACACATTTTAATTTTTTTTTTCTATCTGCGGTCAGCCATCAGCCTTTATCAGATTGGATGAATTTGTATTAATGACAGTTTAGGTTCTGCACATCCCATGATGTGTCACCTCGTTTCCTTTACAATAACTCTTCAGATCATTGCTATTCGCTTTCTCCTGAGCCTGAATGTAGAGTTCTCAGAATTCAGAAGGGATGCAGCAAGTACATTTTCATGACGCTGAAGTCGCTGTTTGTAAGCCCTACAGGACTTATCTACAACCTCTTTGACATTTGGTATCTCCAGGTATTCATGCACTTCAGTGGACTTTGTAAACCAAGGTGCACAACTCAAAATTTTCAGCACTTTATTTTAAATATTATAATGACCAACCTTCAGTGAAAATGGTGATCTTTGAGTGGAACTCCATGCCTCGTTCAAACATGTCTTTGGGGCTGCCATCTTTAGCGATGCCCACGTCACCCGTCGCTACGCCTTTGAGCGATCCATCGTCGCGGTAAATGAGGTCGGCGCCTGCACAGCCTGGCCAGATCTGAACGGGATGAAAATGGAATGAAATCTATATCTATATCTATACTTATAATAAATCTGTAGAGAGGTCAATTCTGTACATTAAATATATTTTCAAAATAACTATCAGGGGGTGATTAGTGATCGATACTGATGCCAAAAATAGAATCAGTAAAATTTTTGTCTGTCTGTCTGTCTGTCTGTCTGTCTGTCTGTCTGTATGTTCCTTATAGAAACAAAAACTACTCGACGGATTTTAACGAAACTTGGTACAATTATTCTTCATACTCCTGGGCAGGTTATAGGATACTTAGGAATTCCCACGGGAATGGGAATTAGCGGGAAAATCGTTTTGTATGAAAAATCTGAACCGCTTAAGTTAGACGCTTGAAATTCGGCATGCAGGTACCTTAGTAAACTTAAAGCTTAGTTACAACAGGATATTGCAAAATTCCCACGGGAACGGGAGTTAGCGGGAATAAACATTTGTATAAAACATCTAAACCGCTTAAGTTAGACGCTTGAAATTTGGCATGCAGGTACCTTAGTAAACTTAAAGCTTAGTTACAACAGGATATTGCAAAATTGCCACGAGAACGGGAGTTAGCGGAAAAAAACATTTGTATGAAAAAATATAAACCGCGTAAGATAGATGAAGGGGGTAAAACGGGATCCACGCGTACGAAGTCGCGGGCGGCCGCTAGTATTATAATAAATTCTTACAACAATTATCCACTTATTTGACAGTATTACACAAACATACAATGCGTACAAATAATTGATTTAATAACTCTGTTAGTGAGGGTTTCCTAACACAAACAAGTAGAAGTAACTTGCAAAATCATGTTTTACAAGCATTTTCCGTGAATTTTGTGTAGGTTTTTATGTATTACTAGCGCCGCCCGCGGCTTCGCCCGCGTGAAAAAAGGGCTGTTTTAGGGTTTTCCCGGAAATGATTCGAATGTTTCTCACCGTAAAAACCATCCTTGGAATTCAAGACTTCAACGAACATTTACAAAATAGAATTGGTAAAATTCGTTCAGGCATTGTTGAGTTATATTATAGATTATAATATAATAATAAAATACATATAATAATATTTATTATTACCTCAGCACCAGCAGCTTCAGCCTGCTCAGACATCCAGCGCACCAGATGACCTAATCTTACTACGTAGTTGCCATGATTCCACATCGGGAGACCTGAAATGAGTGAAAACTTTGTAAAACAGTGGGTATAAATAAATAAAGCTACCATATTGTAAACCTTACGGTGTACTCTTAAGGTAAATTAGAATTCTTAGGCAGAGTTGTACCATCTTACTGTAAAAAATCTGTCAAGCTCCATACAAAAACCACCGGTTATTGTTAGTTACGTAAGTTGGTGCAACTCAACATTAAACTGCTGTTAGTAACACTATGTATTAACTATTTCTTTGCCTTACCTGGGAATACAGGAATAGGTATCCTTCCGGTCTTAGTCAGTAGACCGAACTTGTCCGCAGTGACTTCTGTGTTCATTGGTGCCCCCTTCTCTTTCCAGTCGGGAATGAGCTCATTAAGGGCTATGGGGTCAACACAAGCCCCTGAGAGTATGTGACCACCGGCTTCTGCTGCTTTCTCTAGCAGAGTTACCCGAACTTCCTGCAAAACATATCTTTGATCAACAGATATGCATGAACTTAAAATGCTTTTTTATTTTAAAATCAAAGTGGGTTTATAAAAATTAAACACTAATCTTTTACATCTAATTCATTCTGTTTAATAGCTCTTCTAACATTAAAACTTAGTAGCTTTTTCCCAAAAATGCTGATTAATTTTTATTATCAACTTCTCCATGCTGACATTAATGTATGTTTAACACCCGTATTCACAAACATTACTCTGAGGTCTCACAATACGTGTGGATGCACAGGGTGACGACACACAAACCAATCACAGAGCTCTGTTCAATGCTGTGTAATTCATTTAAGCAAGCATCGTTTGTGAATACGGGTGAATGTCTCTCAAACTTACAGCTCCCTTTTCTTCTGCAATCTGCCGAGCCCTGATAGCTGCAGCCATGCCTGCCGGGCCTCCTCCGATGATGAGGATGTCCGTCTCCTCTGCTATACGCTCCATATTTACCTCTGAATGTCAGGAAATATATTATTCTTCCATGTTACGAGACACAATATTGTGCGTTTTACTACCATTTCTTTAACTTAGCTTGGTTTTAATAGAATGTGAAAAGTATTCTTAATATTATTTTGATCTAAGTATGAAAAAGTTGATATTTTATAGCAATAAACGACATCTCAATTATTTGAAGATTTATCCCAAGGCCAAGGTTACATTGATACATAAGATAATATTGAAAACGTTGCTACGCCAAAGAAGGCGTGATTTGTTTGAATAAAACAAAGATAAGTATCACAAATTAAGTGATAACGTTGTTAGTAATACGAAGGCTATCATAATTACCTTTCCATCTTGGATCCTTATCCCTGGGGTGTATCGTATAGTGTGTTGTTATTTTAGGATAATCAGAGTACAGTCTTCGAGCAGCATTTGTTAGCCTCCCCACTGAAAACAACAAAGTTAACACTTTTTTAAATCAAAACAAATGACTGTGAAGTTTGAACTTTGAACTCTTAACATTTACTGGATATTGCATAACCTGAGGCAATGTACACTCATATATTTTTATTTCACTTTTATATAATAGTTTAATCACTGAAACTGAGAAATGAATGGAAAAAATTAAACTTTTCCAGGTTAAAATTTACAAACAGCTGATGTGTAACGTCACGGAAAGTTAACTAAAAAGTTTATTTTTCACGGTTTTTCACAAATTATTAATGCACATATACTTATTTATGTACTTTGAGAGCATATTTGTAAAAACTTTAGTTTGTTTATCAATTAAAAACAATTATTTTACCCTGACGAGCCGAACTAACAAGTGCCACCGCCATTATTTTTTTGACAACTAACTACTAAACAGAAACACGTTCCATTCCTTTCCTTCCATTTGAGTTTTCCACGCACAACAATTTATTTCATTATTTAATTGTAACTTAATAAAACGTGGTAAAAAAGAGACAAAAGTAGGTAAACCTAAAATAAATCACAATAAAATAAAAAAATACACTAGGTAGGACAATTATTTACAGAAGTGGTTATTATTAAATAATCAGTGCGTACAACGGAACGTTGTTAAAAGCACGTTGTCGGCCACAGCCATTAGCGCGAAAAATGAAATGCCTCGCCTCATGCAAATTATTTTATTATGGAAAACTAATTTCAGTAGTTTCTTAGAGTTAAATTTATAAAGTCGGGTGTGAAGAAAACAGGAAAAATAGGTCTGCATGGATAAACCAATAAGCCCTTATTAGTAAAAAGACTGATGGAATATGGAATGAATGAAATGAAAAGGTGAGCAAACTAAATTCTACATTTTACTTATTCACATTCTTGGTGTATATTACATGAATTTATTATTTGAAGCTTAAAACGCATGATAGTAACGTCCATTAAAATACAGTTGTTTTGTGACTGTACACATTTATTTAAAAAAGAAGCTTACAATAGTATTACAGGTAAAAGTTACATAAAGTAGTTAAATGCTACATTTTTCTGCATTTATTTCACGGGTTTCATCTGCCACAGCCCGTCGTTGAGGTAATGACAGTTTTCTATGCCGACGCCCTTGTTCACCTTTGCACTGTAAAAATAAACAAAAGTAAGGAAACATGCGCAAGTACCATTGTATTGTTAATTTCATGTTATCGGAAACACCTACGTAATACTTTTTATGTGTTTAGAAAAACATATTTTAAGCTCATTGGCTTTTGGGTATTCAGCGAGATTTCCGTAATCGTCATCAAAAATACTTAAATTTGTGTAGCTTTCCTTGCACAGACGTCTATTTAAAAAAAAATATGCGCAAACCTACATCTTACTAGATTCACTACTACAACAAAAAATAAGGAGACATGTAAAGTGCCCCATAGGGGCTACCTTTTTACTTATTTACTATATTTTAACGTTCATAAGTGCCACTTGTGGTCTAAATTGAATAAAATATTTTTGATTTTGAACACTTATTGGCCTACAGACAGGCAAGTTGTTGCATGAGACATCCTAATGCAACTGTTTTTTTTTTTTGGTATGTAAATACTTCAAGGATTCAAGCAAGTGTACTACGCATACTTTACGCTACTACGCATATTTTTTTGCAAATTCGTCCCTATTACAACTACATAAGTTACCAGCTTTCAGTTTGCCTTCATTACGTACATATCATTAGTGGACAAAGAAGTCATTCCGACGGCCAGCGCGTGTTCCTTCCCCTCAGCCATGACAGCGACCACCTGCCCCTTGTCCACCGTAGACATCCTCGCTCCAGGCGAGGTGAGGCCGGGACACATGATGTTGGCGCCACTGAGGACGAACCTGATGGCACCCTTGTCCACTTGCTGCATTGGCAGGAAGAAGGGGTCTGGAATAAAAAGTTTATAAAAAATTGACGTTTGACGATTTTTGCACAGTACAAACATTAGTGTGCATGAACATATGTATTTGTTTGTATTGGACTGGGTGTTTTCTATGTATAATAAGTATGTATTTACAAAAAAAAGTATTTAAGTATGTTTATATCCGTTGTCTAGTACCCATAGTACAAGCTTTGCTTAGTTTGGGACTAGAAGCGCAATGTAAAATGTCCAAGGATATTTATTTATTATTTATTTTTGAAAGATAAAAGCGATTAAAGTTCATTTTGAGCCACCAAACAGATCACTTTGTGGGTCAATTATTTTTATACTAAGTACCTACTAACACATGCCTATCAAATTCTCCTAAGCTAGAAATGGTATTCTGCTTGTTACATATTAAAAGTGAGTTCGCCATCACCACAATAGTTTAGTGGTCGACGACGAGAATCGAAGTTGATCGAAGAACTAGCGTCCCTAGAATTTCGAATTGGTCGATGTCGACACCGTTGGGCTAATTTAAATAATTATAATGCGTGAGAAATGAAAGGCTCTCCCAAGCAAAGTTGAAAAGCCCAATCTTCGAGTTTCTACCTAATAACTAATTGCGCCTTCCTAATTTACTTACAAAACAATTGGCCTTAGTCCGCTCCATTATAATTACGAAAAATAATTTCTCCTTACATTTATGAAGAAGCCTGAGTGTCGGCATCCAAGGTCCTTCGCGTTGACGGAAGAACAACAGCTCCCCAGCGCTGTTTACCATGATCTCGATGTGGTCATGGCTGGAAAGAACATCATACAAGAATTAGAAAAAACTGTAAAGGTAGGACCCCTTTTTCAGCCAAGAAGGAGATTTTATGAGTATTGGTCCAGTTTTAATCAATGAAAACATTTTTTTAATGGGGACTCGCATTGGTATTGGCTGTGGCATTGGTAAAGACATTGTTGGATTATTTCCAATGGATCGATTGCTACCTATAGTAGATTATACTGGATCAATAGAGTTGCCATAATATGTATGTTAAATAATGGATCTTATAAAGACAGTGATGATTATATCACAGCTTCAAATAGAGTTTCATAGCTAAGTATGTTCAAATAAATAAAATCACACTTTTACTAATAAGCTATTATCACGGTAATATTATCTAACTATTGTGTAGTAGTAGCTAATTAACACTAATACTGTTTCAAGTTCTGAAATGTAAGTGGGGTCATGACGTAAGACAATGACCTTGCCTTATAGTACGAGAGCCCACGACCAAAACCATGTCTCATAGCAATACGGCAAAAACCCTATAAAATCGTTAGATTGTATGATTCTGAACCCGACTAGGTGTGTAGTAACGGTCGAAAGTGTAGCAACTGCGTGGGAGGCCATTTCTGCTGTGTCAAAAAAAAAAGACAGTCGGTATTATAGCAATACGTCTGATAGTGAAAATGTACATAGATTTTATAATTGTATTACGAAAAAGTTTGTTTTCAGACATTTTGCGCGTAGCATATAGCCTGTGCGCATTTTTGAAAATGTCAACAAATTTAGCCGACCTGTATCATAGCAATACGGATAAATTTTTTTTTCACCTTTTCGTATTGCTGCCATGATTACCAAAAACCTGTTTTCAGACACTTTAAGTGTATCAAAAAGTTGTATGATAGAGAAGGTGCTACACTTAAGGAGCCATTCATAAAGTACGTCACACGAATTTCATGATTTTTTGACCCCCCCTCCGTCCATGTCACAGGTGGTCACATTTCTGAGACCCCCCCTCCCTAGTGTGACGTCACATGTTTTGCAATTTCACATCGAAAAATTATTAAATTAACAGCAGTTCCGAAATTAGTTTTATTTTAATTTAAATTAAGTACTTTTTTTTAATGAAATCAACATTATATCAAATATTTGAAACAATTGAAATGTGATGTCACAAAACTTAGGACCCCTCCCACCCCTTGTCACACCATGTCACACTTTGTCAACCCCCTCCCCCCCTCTTTACGTGTGACGTACTTTATGGATGACCTATATGACACTCATCTCTTGACAATATTATAGCAAGTAAAGCCTAAAACCAATGTTTTTCATTAATAATTTAAAATAAGAATACAATTTACGAGTTTATTTTAAGTATTTATTATTAAATTTAAAAAATTACACTTCTAATATNAACTACAGTCTGCAAATCAGACATATTGCTATGATGCAGTTCGGTAAAATTCTTTGACAATTTTGAAAATTCGGTCAGATCAAACGCTACGCGGAAAATGTCTGATATTGGTATTTTCGAGTTCAGTATAATCGTATCTATCGATTTGATGCGGTTTTGGCCGTATTGCTATGAGACAAAAATTTTGGTCGTGGGCTCTCGTACTATTATCTACCTTCTATTATTTACCTAAGTAGTTACTTCTATTATTTACTTTATAATCTCTCAGTATAGATATAGCTACAGTTACCTATTAGACTACCTAATTAACATAGTTTATCTGACAATTGCTTACAGGCTATCAGGAAAATTGCCAGCGGGCCAGCAATAGGTGAAACAGGTCAGAAGTTATCAACATTAGCGCAGTAACTAAGTCCTACTTATTTAGGTATTTTGTGGTAATAGTATCTGAATAAAGGCTTTATTCCTACCCACCATTTAACAATCCTAAAAGTGTCCTTCTTGGGCAGAACCTGGTCGATGTAGTTCTCCAAGTGAGGGTACAGTTCCAGCAGGCGAGTCCGGATTCCTTTCTGCACCGACGACTTGAGCTGCTGAACGCCCGATATGCTCTCCTTCTCGTCGAATCTAGAAATGAGAGGAATATATGTTAATAAAACGTTTACGAATAAAAACTAGCATGAAAAGTGAAAGAGGATGCGCGGGCACGGAGACGATTCAGACGGTAAGAAGGCCACTGACTGGCTGACTGCAACATTTCTGTAAAGAAAGTTTCTTTTCCAAAACGCCTCAATAGATCAGTGCTCAAGATTGCAGCGCAGTAATCAAGATTAACCCATAAGCAAATTAAGTAGGTAATTAATTGCTTAGGGCATCACGCGTCTTGGGAGTTGGAGGACTTGGAGGGCACCACAAAAAGAACAAAATAAAACAATTTGGCTATAAAAGTCGCATTTCTATACACAATTTTTCTATTTTTCACTAACGACCGATACCAGCATAATATAGGCACATAGGTGTGGATTGCTTAGGGCATCAAGTAGTCTTAATCCGGCACTGCAAAAGATATCAGGTTATAAAGACTGTTCACCACAAGCAAACAGGGTTATTTTTATGCCCTAATATAAGGTTTACCCATAACTAGATAGACTAGATTACTAAAGAAACTAAAATTGCCTACCTAAGCTATAGGATAGGCAATAGTAACAGAGTGCACCGACCCCTTATGGAAGCGGCTTAGAAAGCGCTATTGCAGTGTATGTGTGGCCACCGACCTACTAACCAAATTGCAATAACAGGTACTCTTGATTACTAGGTAGGTAT